CTCCATTTTGACCGGAGAGCCATGACAGCCAAAGTTAAACATCCTACACAATACAATGCTTAACAAGCTGGCAAACAAAATATATCGAATAACATATTATATGCATATATCCCCACCACACATACAAACATACATACATACATAAACATACACATACATCAAAACACCACATGCATACATGTATACATACATACACACACACATACATACATCCGTACATACACAGACGTTGATACATACAAAGATACATACACAAACATTCATATACATCCATCGATACATACACACACACACACATATACATACATCAGCATTTAATTAATGTCCATATTTCAGAGGCGCCTAAATATACTTGAGCTAAAAATTGTTCAGGAGCGATATATCCTCTTCATTTGTCAGTCATTTCGTTTATTTAAACTTTCAACGTGTGTGTGTTTGTGTATATGTGAGTGTGTTCGGACTTGTGTATATGTTTCTTTGTATGCATTTTTGTATGTGTGAGTGTGAATGTATCTAATCTATGTGTTGGAGTTTTAGTTGGTTCTTTTTTTTGTACAGATGTCGTCATGAATTTTTTCTCTTGCGATGGTTGTATGGTGCAACTGAATGAGGTGGCTTAATGTTAGAAATGTGATATCGTGTATGAATGTATGTATGTGTGTATGTTGTTGTTGTTGTTCATTTATGCATTTGTGTGTGTGTGTGTGTGTGTGTGTGTGCGTGCATATGTCTATTTATATCTCCATTTGAATCCGTAGTAAAGCGACAGCGTGTGAAAAAATGATACACGACTACGATGACGATGTTGATGACGACTAAGAAGATGGCGGGACGATGACGATGATAATATGGATAATAATGATGATGGAGAAAATGTTGCTGCTGTTTTTGTTGTTGATGATGATGATGATGATGATGATGATGTTGATGATGTTGATGATGATGACCACCCACGCAACTTTTCACGTACACACACGGTACATAAATATTTACATATGTGTGTACATTACACTTAGATAAATTTAATTATATATATAATGCATGTATATGTATGTATATATATATATATATATATATATATATATATCCATATAAATTGACACGTGCATGTATAAGTATGCATGTCTGAACATTAAATGGAAAAGTTGCACTAGAAAAATGAATGAATGAGTGAATGAATTAGAGTTGAACGAATGAAGGAATGAAGAAACAAAGAATGAATGAATGAAGGAACAAGTGAATGAAGGAATGGAACACTTAAGATTACATATTTTGTCTGATTGACGGGCCAAATGATGTTGTTTGATTGCACTTGCTGACTTTTTAATGAATTTCTTCTTGTTTCATGTCTCATATATTTATTTGTTGTAAATTCTGTCTGTTGTAATAATAAATTAATTATATACATGCTAGCAGTAATATTTCTGACCAACGTAACTGTTCTCAACAATATTTCTATTGTTATTTTTGTGGTTTAAGTTATATTCATTCAAATTCTGATATATCATATGTATCGGTTTTTTAAAAACATTAAAAAATTTTTTTTATAATGTAAAATGTTAATTTAATAAATAATTTTGTTTTTTTAATTATTAGTAATAATAAATAACAGTTTATTCAATGTGTAAATGCAATTTTAATATACATAACTTCAATAGAAAATTTACAAACAAAAACAAAGATTAAAAAGTTTGAAGTTATATTGTTGTTTTGTCTTTGCTGTTTAACTCTTTTTCCTTTTGAACAATAATACGAAGGTTTGTGGCGTCAAAATGGCAATTATAATCTTTTAAAATCGTAAAAGTGTCACGTTTTGTTTTTAGTTTTTTTTTAAATTTATATTTTAAAATGAAGTTTTATTGCCTGCTAATTATGGATTTCATTATTTTCAATATTAAAATCAACTTTTGTACTAACCGCTTATATTTTGTTGCAGAGATGGGAAAGGGAAATAATATAATTCCCAATGGGCATTTCCACAAAGATTGGAAGAAACACGTGAGGACATGGTTTAACCAGCCGGCTAGGAAGTTTCGCCGCTGGACGAAACGTAATGATAAAGCAAAAAAGATTGCTCCCAGGCCTGTCGCTGGTTTGTTGAGACCCGTAGTTCGCTGCCCTACCTTCAAATATAACTCCAGAATTAGAGCTGGACGAGGATTCACTATTGAAGAGTTGAAAGTTCATGATCTTTTATTGATTTTTTTTATTTTAACCATTAGAAATGTATGTGGCGTAAGGTAAGTATTTGAAGTACTGAACATTAGGTAACTGATAAATTAATTTAAAATTAGAATAGCAAGATTGAGTTGTTTTATTTATATATATATATATATAAAAATAATATTTCTTGATCTTCATAACAACAGGCAGCTGGTTTCAACAAAAAATATGCCAAAACCATTGGCATTGCAGTTGATTTCAGACGCCGCAACAAGTCAGTTGAAGGTTTTCAAGTGAATGTTCAGAGATTGAAGGAGTACAAGGCCAACTTGATCCTCTTCCCCAAGAAATTGAACAAACCTCAGAAGGGAGATGCTACCGTTAGTTAATTTTATTGCTCCCAATCGTCAATCACTCATTTTCATGACTTAAAATTTGTGTTTCAACTTAAAATCTTTTTCAATAATTTTTCTTTTAAATCAAAGCACGTTTTCTATTGTTTTTATGTCTGTCGTACCCTATCAATTTTAAACTCTACACTGAATACATTATTCAGGAGGAAGAGATGAAGTTGGCCACACAATACAAAGGCAAACAAGTCCTACCAATTAAAGCATCAGTTGTTAAGGAGAAGGCAAGGGCAATCACCCCAGAGGAGAAAAAATACTCTGCTTTTGTTGCCCTTCGTCAAGCTCGTGCTCATGCCAGGTTGGCTGGAAAGAGGGCCAAGAAACAAAAAGATGCTGAAACCGATGGGGGTGGCGATAAGTAAATGATAGTGATGTTGAAGTCATTTGTGAAATGTCATTCACTTAAAAACAGTTTGTTTGTTCCATGTACGTGTGTGAAGATAATAAAATTCTGTTGAATTACATTAACTGGTTTTGTTCCATCTTCAATTTTTAGCAGTTTTAATGTATTTCCAGTTGAATGGAACAATGAAAACACAATTTATTTCATTACAGTTTTTTAACTACAAAATAATTTTTTCTAGAATGTGAAATAATTTAATTACTAAGACAAATAAGGTTACAAACACAATGATGAAAAACAGCAAGGAATGATAAGCAATGTACTATTTTCATTAATTCACATCACTAATTCATATTAGACTGGAGAATTTAATTCTTCAAATGTACTTAAAGTATATGTACAACAATGGCTTAATTTTAAGGAGTTGCAAACGCCCTACGAATCTGAACATTTGAAATGCAATTTAACAATTGTGTAACAGAATTCCACAACTGCGTCTGACAAAACGAGAAATATGTAGTAGCGTTTAAATGGACCAATTATAGATAGAGAATATAAGAAATTATTTAGATACCCGATGCATCATTTGCACAGCTTTTGTCGATTTCATGTTAAAATTTTGAATTTTCTAATAAAATTATCCGGAGGTATCGTTAACCAGCGTCTTTAATGATCAATCAAGCAAGTTAGTGTTGTTCAAACTTTGTTAATCTAATATTACATTTTTCAGCGACCAACCCAATAAATCATTCATCAAACCAGGCAACACTTAACTATATGTTTATTTAATCAGCCAGATTAATATGCTGACGGATCAAATATTCAATCAATCAAACCGACCAGTCAGATCAACAAATCAATCTCTCTTGAGACGTTGTGTGGTCATTCGATAGATGACACTATCTCTGCCGGGGTCCATGTGCCAGATGGACCACGATATCCAGGTCAGTGTAATGACGAATGCGATCATGAACCAGAGAACTATGTTGAAGATAACTGGGTACATGTATGTGTACTTCGGTGCTCTGTTGAATTTCGACTGGAAATAAGAAATCGTCATGTTAAACATTGATAAAAATATTATAGTAAAGTTTTTTAATTTATCGTTCAGTGCCAGTGTAGTAAATGAATGATTGAATGCAGTGGTAAATGAATGAATGGCTGGAATTGAATAAAAAAAATTAACACCTCAGTATCAATAGTTGCGTTGGCTTCTTGCAAATGTCTACTTATCATCAATTTAGTTCCAAGATCTGGATTCATTGTCACTACGGCTACGACCACATTGCCAGAGAAGAGACTAATTAATTCATCCCTTGCCTAGAAATTAACACGAAAACGTTTCTACTTGTGTTCTTAAATTTTGAAGTTGTAAATGCTTTTGATTGATTTTTGAATTATTTTAAAGTGATATTTACGACTATCACGAGTTTAATCATCAGATACTATAAATGAAAATTTTAAAAGTTATGAAATTACAAGTAGCGACCTCACTGAAAACGTCATTCAGCAGATTGATGGCATCATCGTAAGCAGGTTTGTCCTCCAATGCTTTCAGAGTTGAAATTTTGAAGTGAAAAAAACTAGGACTGTCACTCTTCAAAACACTTTTGTTATCTTTGATCTATTGTTTTTTTTTCACAAAGCTTTATTTGATAATTTATAAATTATGCTAAAAATCTTTAAAATATTTTAGAATATTGCTATGATTTAAAAAAAATTCACTTCCACCTTCTTAATTGTTTCACTAATCACAAACATCTCTGCAATAAATGCCAAATCAACATCAGATGTAAAGACCAGTGACCCAGTTTTGTGCTGCTTCATCCAATCAGATTTCTCCAGGTCACTTTGAATGCTGTCAATTGTCCTGGAGTTTACAAGCTCAGAGTAGCTTGATCTTGTATCAAATAACTGTATTTGAAAAAATCAGAATTTATTCGTATTGGTTATGTAAATTAAGGTTTAAAGTTGAGAAAAGGAGTGAAACTAAATAAGTGACAACAAATAACCTGATTATCCATTGAACTGTCAATAGTAAGAGGTTTAACTCTCCAATCTATCTTCTCCAACTTATTGTTAACAACTTGCATGCTCAGGTCACCAGAGTCCTGAGACAAATTTTTTTAAATTTACGAAAAAATAAATGAATATTTGAATAAAATACAAATAAATCTATTAAAAACGTTAATCCTAGTTGAAGTATTATTACTACTACAATTACTTTTTCATTACTTACTTGTTGTAGGTCAAAATTGTTGATGTTGTTTTTAATAGGAATGTCTTTTTTAGTAGAATCAATTGCAAACATCACCACAGCTTTTGGCCTCTTGAATATGTTGCCTGCTAGCAGACCATCCCATTTCATTGGCTAGGAAATACAAATTTATAATCAAAAAATAGATCCTAATATAAAAGAAATAAATATAAATACATATTAAATATTTATAAAAAAATGTAAATAAATAACCAACATTTAGTTAGTTTAGTTAGTAAAAAAAATCAAACATTTCAGCAACTTACAATATCACTTGACAATCCAAAGAGAGACAAGACAGTTGCAGGAATCTCTGATGATTGCAATTTGTTAGTTGGAGTCACAAAATGAACACTGTCTGGATGGTGCATGACTGAGAACTGGTTGCATTGTGCAAGCAATATCAGGGAAGTTAGGACTGGTTGTGATTAATTGAAATAAAGTTTAAACTAGTAGTTAATAAATTTAGTTACCTAGCAAATAAGTAGTATAATGTTACTTAATGATGATGATATAATCCAATGCAATTTTTGGTGTTTAAAAAATATATAATGGATTTATTCAAAGTTTTTTGTGAGTATGTTAAAAACTAAAAAGCTTCCAAAATCAAATTCTGGATCAGCAGACAGAAGTAAGGTAAAAATTTGCCTGCATGACAACATTGAATGTGAACTTAACTTATGGTTCAATATAATTTAATATTCATATCAATGGGTACAAATTCTTTGGCTTTTCATGATCAACCATAAAATTTTATTTTATTTTTTTAGTAAGCAACCCCACAAAAAACCATCACCTGGGGGAGTGTAAGTCAGTAAGCGAAAATATTAAAAAAGTCATACAAAAACATTTAAAATAAACAAACATAACGTCTAACTTTTGATCAGAACAAGAAACAAGAATCTGATTTCCATTTTGCTGAAAACTTTCGTACAACAGATCGCCTTTTAAATCATTTAAATTATAATAAAATAAGATTAAATATTAATTTAGCATAAACAGAATAATTATTATTAATTTTATAGCGCTGTTCTTGGTATATTGATTTAACTGTATCCTATTCAATATTTCAAATGAACTATCATTTGATTCAAACTGAAAACAATCAATTCTCAATAAGCAACTTCTTAAAATGATCTGTTTTAAAATGATCTGTTTTGTGGAAGTTTTTACTCTCCACTAAATTAACAAACCTGCACTGCTAGTCGAATCCAGATATAACCAGATTAGCTGGTGTTAATGTTGTAACATTTTCATGAATATTTACGCTGATTAACTTTTCATTTCACAAAAATTATGATTAAACAACTTTAAATAGAAGAATTTATTGAAAATAGCAAGGTGCAAGGTAATTTTTAAAGCCACAAATATATATAAATATATATACTTATGTAGTGGTCGTAATGCAATGCATGTAATAAATGGCATATATAAATCAAATTAATTGCAATATTTCTGCTTCGTAAAAATGAATTAGTTATATTCAAGAATATAAAACGAATAGGTCACACATTAACACACAGAGATACAAATACATACATACAAACACACACAACTTACATGTTACATAGAATTGGTTTCAAATTAAACAGAAAAAACCGATAAATTAATTAAATAATGATTTTAAAACATTTTAATTCAATTCACGATAACACTGCATACACACACACACACACACACACACACAAACACACGTCAAGGTGCAAAGAAGCCAATACAACACATATACATTCAGGAATTAACTAAAAAAGAACATTTAAATATCTCTATCTATAAACGAAAAAGCTGAACAATATCTGTAAAAAAATGAACTATATAGAATTTTCTAACTATAAATTAAACTGAGAGTAAGATGGAAAAAAAGTCTGACTAGAAAAGAAAGCACATTATGATGGATTAGAGTCGCTTACGGACAACGCATTTAAGTAGCTAGCACTTACATTTAATCTAAATTAATTTTCAAATTTGAAATGATAGAAATAATTATATATACAACCAAAATAATAAAACATTATTATTATTTATTTATTTATTAAATTAAATAAGATATAACAAAGATATAGATGTGTACTGTACATTTCATGACGAACAATGGAGAAAAGGATACCATCATGATTGCCCTCGTTCGGTCAGATAGAAGAATAACACCAATAAACAAAAGATAATAATAATGATAATAATGAAGCACACATACATATACATACATACAAAATAAAATCTTACAGTTTTATACAAGTTATATTAAAAGCCATTAATATGGAAGCATCTAAGCTAGCAATTTATTTATAAAATAAATAAACAATGATTACGGTCATTTTATATATATATATATATATATATATATATGACGACGATATATATATATATATTGGAATAAGACATATATACATATATATATAACATTTATCGAAGATATATTTTTTGTGTAATAAATATTTAATTTAAGAAATATGTAGATAGATATGCAATCAAATAAATAAATCTGATAATTTGGATCAAATTTATAAAAATTTGCATAAAAATGATGAAAAATCGTGTTTAAATTAATTGGCATAAATGAATAAAGAGAGAAATATACGATTCAAAAAACGTATCAAATATCGTGAAATAAATAAACGCTCTTGGAAAACAATCATGTTGGCAATAAGGTTAAGTAGGAGGAACAATGACGACGATAACCAAGATGACGAAGATGATGACGAAGATGATTATAAAGATTTTGTTACAAATTAAAAGAAAAGTAAACACAGTATTTTCAAGCTGGAGAATTCAATAAATTTAACTGAGACAACGATGACAGACACATTGTATGATAACACATGAAGGTAATAAGAATAATTTTATTAATAATAAATTATAATAATAATTATTATAATTATTGTGCATCGTAACAATAATCCTCATCTTCATCCCCACGAAAGCAGCCGACCTCATAGCCAATAACAGTTGCGTGATCCAGCTTTCCTGGTGACTGAGCCAGTTTGCAGGTGATCTGAAAATCCCGATTCTGTTTTTCTTCTGGTTTCAGTTTCTTTTTCTTCCCATACAGATCCGGGTTTTCCAGAACCTTTTTGTGCATAGATAACATCATCATCATAATCATTGTTATCGTGATCATTGTTAAAGTTAGTAGAAAAACAAACAAAAGCAAAAAACCATAGAAAAACAAAATCAGTCTTTACTTTTCTCTTGGCATCAGTCAGTTTGAGGACATGTTGTAGCAATGCACCACAGAGCTCTTGTGCAGAACACGGGCATTCGGTGAATAATTCAAATTCGTGTAAAACTCTCTCCATCTCTTTTATTGCATATCTATGTCTTTCGAAAGGCAGCATGATTGGCTTGCCATCCTCCAGTCCTAATTTGGGCTCCACCATTTCTACATCCTCAATTAGGGAATTTTGAATGTTTGTGAAGTTGGTCGGTTTTGAGAGATTTTCAGCTCTTTGAGTTGTGCTCGAGTCATGATCAGCTGGCTGCAGTGTTGTTGGCTCCTTTAAAGTTTTGTCATCATCGTTTTCGTCATCGACGTTGGTGACGTCATTAGCGTCAGTTGTGCTTTTTGTCATCATCAGGTCGGTAGGCGACTGTGTTGTGGAGGATTTCTTGGCTACTGCTATCTGAAATGTGTGTTTAAGAGTTGAAATTAGAAAAGAAGCAAGCCATCCGAGCGACAACAACCAACAACAATATCAACCCACCTTAGTGACCACGGGATCAAAATTATCAGTGATGCCATCCGTGGCGAGGAAGACAACATCCCCAGCCTCCACGCACGTCATCGAGCACGTCAAATTGTTCAACTCGGGCTGGCCGTCAACCGAAACAGGCCCCAAGGCTCCACCAGCATCGCGAATATCCCTCTCGCACGTGACGTCATGCGAACCTGTCGTAACCTCACGGACACCATGCCGACGACTAAACACAAAAGCTAAGCTGTCTCCAACGTTAACGACGCATGCCATAAATTTTTTAGGCGCTGATGCTGGTGGTGTCGTTGCGAGCATTTGTAGTGGTAGATTGGTTGCCAAGGAAGGTGGTGATGATAATGATGGAGATGGAATTTGTGGTAATGATGATGATGGCGAGGACAATCCCGATAACGATGTTGCTATTAAATCAGGCAGTAATTTCTCATCCTCACTATTAGGCGACGGTGATGATGATGATTCTGGAGATGCGAGAATTTTTGGAGATGGGGGTGTTAATGGCGATTGTGAAGCTGGTAGCAAATGTGAAGGTTGTATGCGTTGAAGAGTTGGTTGTTGGATGGGGCAGACGAAACAAACGCATAACGTTGTGAGCCCACCTTGGTGTTTGATTATCATCTGGTGGGCCTCTTCCAACGACTTCAATAACAAATCAAATACATCCTGTGTGTGAATTGGAAAACATTTTAAATATTTTATTTCGCTAATTAAAAGTATCTACAGAATGACCAAAATGGTGAATTTGAAATGTTTTATTGTAAGGAAATGAAATTCAAACGACACACAAACAGACTTCCCCTTACCTTAGTATTTTCAAACGATGCTTTCATTCTCACGTTATCACCATCCCACTGCTCAGTCACATCATTTATAATTTCATTTTCATTATTTTCACCTCTGCCACTTTCATCTAAATCTGAATTAACTTTTACCCCAAAAATCTGTTCGTTAATATACTTCATGGCTCCATAAACAGCACACCTGGCAGCAATTTTGGATTTCTCTCCCCAGTTGACACCATCGGCAACTATCATTATTGATCCATTTTTTCGGGCGCATAATCCAAAGGCATCCGCTATAGGATCACCTTAGAAAGAATAAGCATGTGAGAAAATTGCATCAATAATTTTTAAAAAATACTTTTGTTACTGCAATGACTGCTGTAATAAATTAATAATTAATGAAAGAAATAATAATTAACCAGATATTTTGCCATTGATTGGGTGTTGGTCGTACAAAGACATTGAAATCCCATATGCCTTCCTGTTCTTCACTGTCCATTTGGTGCAACCTGCTGGCAAGCCTTTGGGTTTGGTGTGATCTTTATAAAAATAAGAATGGTTTAATAGTAAAAATTTAAAAAAAACTTTAAAGTTTAAATTTATATATTAAAAAATAGAATTTTTTTGAATAAATTAATTTATAAAATAAAAAACAAATAAATTATTATATACTTTGCGGAGATTCTAGTTTGTGCACGAAATCCAGTCCACAGTCTGGTCCGGTGTATGATGCAAATACATTGCCTGACAGAGGTTCCAGTTTAAAATTAGGTAGTTGATTAGGATCTTTACTGAACCAAACGTCCGTGGATGTAGTTTCATTTTTCCACCTTAAAATTAAATGTTATTGATAAATAAAATCAAATATTTGAGTAAAAAATTATATCAATATTACTTTTTTGAATAATTTGGAGTCATAATTTTTACTATTTAAATTAACTTTTATAAATGTTTTGGTTTGTAATTAAATGTTGAAGCGTCACATTGGTGAACAAATTAGTCCGATAAATACCACTTGAAGAGGATTGATACTCCAAAAGAGCTCTTCAGAGTTCTGACAAATCGAATTTAAGCAAATTATCAACAAATCTATCTAAAACTTATTTACAGACTTAAGACAATAATCTTTTCTTTCAAATTCTAGCAATTTAAATCTTAAACAATTGTTAAATATGGCTAAATTAAGTTTAACTATATTATCATTTGCTCTACTTTCGATATTAGTAAAAGACAGGTTTGTTTTATTGTGTTTTCAATTTATTTTATCAATAAAATGTTGATTTTCAAGGCTCTACTTATTCAAACGATTGGAAAACACTGTGTTTGAACCAGAGGTCCCGGTGACTCGCTGTGCAACTATTTGTAATTATACCTATACGTGTACATATTATAAGAAATTGATTTCTAATGGATTAATTCAAACAAATAATTAAAAAAAATTCACAAATAACAACGACAGTTATCAGCAGGTTGAGAAATCTGAGCTAAGAACCAATGTAACTCTACCAAATGCCGACAAATTCTTACATTTGTACGGTCTGCCAGTTGGTCAAGGAGATACGTACATTGTCCAGTGTCCTAACCTTATTGGTGGCAAGTTAACTGTTGTTGATATGGGGTCCAGTGAATCAAAAGATGAGAGTTTTTGGGACGAAATTGAAGTAGGAAGGTTTTTGAATGGGAGTTTTCATCTGGTTGAGAATATCGTACTGACGCACAATCATGATGACCATCATAAGTTGGTTTTGTTTATGTATCAATTTGATACTTACTGGCACATAACTTTAACGATTTTACCTGATAAATTTTGTGTATAAGTACATTTTGAAAAATACCAAAAAATATGAGCATCGTTACTTTTTTCTCTTAGCATGATACCGAAAGTCTTCAACAGTCACGAGAAAATAAAGAAGATAAGAAACATATACATAACGTGCAACGAAACCAACCTACCTTCGCCAATAAAATCTTGGCTGCAAAAATTCACACTCGACTCAAAGGTAAGAACATTCAAGAATGGCAGCAGGTGTGGCCCCAATGGTAAAGCATGCGGCTTCATCGACGTATGTTCAAATCCTGCTAGGACAACTAAAAATATTAATGCTAGAGTCCTGGCGGCGAACTGGGGCCAACAATGTGGCAAAAATAATGTTAACAGTAACAACAATAATAATAACCTTGTTAATAAGAAGAAAAACAGTAATAATAATGATAGGGCCCAGTTGAATAAAAACACAGACGTGATGGTTATCTCGCTGGCGTTCAACAAGGTGAAAACTCTGATGATCGGCGATTTCGAAGATTTCACACCGTCTGAAAATGAGGTAGTGTTGTTAATTCAGTCTAGCAATGAGTAATGCTGAAGAGTTCAGAACAATACATACGATAATTACAACCCAACAATTTAACAGGAAGGTCCTTATTTTGATTTGGTAAACTACTACAAGACAGACCTCCTAACTTCCGTCTATCAACTGGCTCATCATGGAGCCGAAAACCTGGCTAATAAGAAAATAATCCGCCAGGCCACTAAACCGACTGCCTTGTACGTGAGTTCAAATCCTTACTACTCATATTTTCACCCGCGTTGTAACATCATTGACGCCTTTCTGAAAGAGGTGAAATCTGTCTGTAAGCCGCAGAGCAAGTTAGGGGATAAGTTTTATTGTGGGGCCCATCCGTTAGATAAACCTGAAAATAGAGATGTGCGGATTAGCAGAGGATTCGTTGGGACTGATTACAAATTGCAGAAGGTATTGCTATGAATGAATTGTTTTCAATCATTGCTGCTACAAAATTGCATCCTATTAATTAAATGCAAGTTACATCGAATCAATCATCCAACGGCAGAATTACGTCTGCGGAGAGCAAAATGGAACACTGAGGAATGTAACAAACAACGAATATGCAATCTACTCGACGGTTCCAGACGAGATGACTTTGAATATCGTCGAGTATATTACCGACGGTTTAGACTGGGGATTCGTTAATAACTTTGTACCGAGATTTTAAACGGTTCTTACTTGAATAAAATGCACTTCAAGAATATTTCTAAAATAAACTTTTTATTCACGCATAAAAACTATTCACTATAAATTTCAATTTAGAATTTAGATCGATTTAAAAAATTTCATTCGTCTAATTTAAATTTATATGCAGAGGTCAGAAAAAACAAATTTATTATTATTATTAATATTATTATTACCACTACTACAGCAGCAAGAACAACGATAATTATTATTATTATTGTTGTTGTTGTTGTTGTTGTTACTAACAAAATAATGGTTAAATGCAAAAACTTAACCGGGGAATACCCATACAAAATAAAATAAAATCACATTTACAGAAGCAATAGGGTAAAATAAAACAATATGTAGTAGACCTAGTATAAAAAAGTATATATGTATACTTGTGTGCGCGTGTGTGTGCGTGTATAACCCACTAACAATATGTCTGTATATATGTTTGAAAGATTGAATGATCATTTGAAAGTTAACAAAATAACAAAATCCTCCCAGCTATTGTTTTTCCAACAATCAATCTACCATTCATTCATTCAATCCATCATTCATTCGTTCGTTCGTTCGTTCACCCATTCATTCATTCAATTAATCAACACGAAATTTTTCCTTCACACTTTATACACTTTCCTAGCCGATTCAGAAACATTTACAGCGCTTAACTTCTTCGGTTTAATCTGCTTACCACCACCAGACGATGAAAAATCAACCTTCTCAATGGTAACGTAACGATTTTCACTGGTAGATTCATTTCTGCTCGTGGCGTCATCTTCGCCAGCCAATCTCTCATACTCATCCAAACTGTGTCCATACATTTTCGCAACGACGTTTTTTAAATAAGCTCCCCACTGTCCAAAAACTGAGCCTAGGCCGAAATTATCTTCATATGCAGGATCTTTGGCTCCTTCCTGTTTCACTAACCACTCGACTATTTCTTCGTGTCCGTTTCTTTCGGCGAGTTGAATGGGTCTCGTGCCATCCCTGGCCGGCACGTCTACGTCACTGCCGGCTTTCACTAGCGACTTCGCAACGCGATAATGACCGTTTAGGCAGGCCTGTGTGAGTGTGTGTGTGTGTGTCGTACGTGTATGTGTGTGCTTGTGTGCGTGTGTATGTTGTGTTTTTGTTAAAAATAGTAGTAAAACAAATGATTTGTTGTTCGATAAATTTTGCATTGCAGCTCGTTCAGCAGCATTAAACACATAAGTGACGCAAAATAAAATAAGAAGAACGCCAGGGGAACTAACGGGATGCAGAGGAATGAAGCCCTTCCTATCCCTGATGTTTGGATCGGCGCCATTGAAGAGGAGCAGCTGGACGACGTCGAGGTCCCCGCACTGAGCAGCCCAATACAAGACCGTCGTGCCATCCTCGCTGACTGCATTCACGTCGCAGGACCACATCATGAGCACCTCCACCACCTCGATGTAGCCATTCTGTACGGCCAACATCAAAGAAAATATTCGCTCCCGCCCCTTCTCCGTTTTGATATTTGGTTTAGCACCGTTTGTTAGGAGTAGTTTGACCGTATCTACTCGACCGTACCGACAGGCGAACATCAGAGGGGTCCATCCGGCATCATCTGGAAGGTCAATCAAGGCTCCATGGTCGAGGAGAAGTTTGGCGATTGTGTTCCAACCCTTCTGAGCTGCTATATGGAGCGGAGAGAGGCCGCCACAGTTCACGGCCGGTGATGTATCGGCTCCTGTTCCATGTACGTGCGTGCGTGCGTGCTTGTGTGCGTGCGTGCGTGTGTGCGTGTGATGCAGTTGATGGTGATTTGTGGAGTGAGTGTCATGTTTGAATGAAAAATTGGAAATTAAATTTGAAAAATAGCAATTCGTTGAATGATGTTTTTCAATGAAGAATGAAATGTAAAGTTGATGAATGAACATTTTCAAAACCTTCACTTAAAAGAGCTCGAACAACCGGTTCAGCTGTCAACTCCTCATCTCTTGCTATCCTCATGGCGATGTGTAAAGGTTTCAATCGATCGATTCTCGTTTCGGCTTCGATATTCGCTCCGGCATTTAAAAGTTCTTCGATTATTTCAACGTTCGCCAACTTGGAAGCCACGTGTAGAGGGCTGTGTCCCGTTGTCCTGTCATACACGTCCGTGCGAGCTCCGTGCTGACCAGCCCATCAGAGGTCCGTCATGATCATTTTAATAATACAACAAAATTCATTGCGATGATAATAATTAATAATTATTATTATTATTAAAAAGGAATGACAATTATAGAATGTAGCGAGATCATTTTTAACGAGTGAACTGACGAACTGTTTGTTTGAACCAATTATACAAACGAAACGGTAAACTTTTGAGGAAAATAATTAATCAATAAAATGAAAGCATTAATAAAAGTTACTAATCCTCACTCACCTGTAGTAGCAAATGAAGCCCTTGAACATTTAATTTCAACACGGACATCATCAGTGACGTCACACCGTCAGCTGTTTGCGCGTCAACGTTAACTCCGTGTTCCAGCAGAGTTCTGTTTTTGGAATTTCCAAATTTATTTCTCGGGTTGTTTCCAAGTTTATAATTTTAGTTTCGGTTTTGTAGAAGTGTAAAGTTATTTTTAATTAAATCATTCAATCTCGTTATCAATCATTATTCTTTGATAAGTTTCGGTTGAAAATTGAAGCTACAGGTAGGTAAACTATTGGAACGGTACCGACTGAATAGTAGTTAGGTGGCCTTCCTGGACAGCTAAATGCAAGCAGGTCCATCCGTTTCTGTCAGTTTTATTAGCCAGGGCTCCGTTGTTCAGCAAGAGTTCAATGCAAGTTACGAAACCTTTTTGAGCTGCTACGTGCAATGGACAGAATCCTACCAACGTGTTATAGATTAACATTTAAATTTTGTTATATTATTTGTAAAAATTAATGAAGTTGCATGTCAACTTGACTCAATCTGCAAACGTACCTTGATTCTCGGATAGATTCGGATCAGCGAATACGACGGTGAGCAAAAATTGAACTGTATCTATTCGATTCTCTTGCGTAGCTAAGTAAAGAGCGGTAAACCCGTGGTAAGTTTTCCTATTAACATCAACATTGGGAGCGGAAAGGAGGATTTGAACCCCGTCCGTCCAACCGACCTCGCTGGCAGCGTGCACGGCGGACCAGCCAAGATGATTCACTAAATCTGCTCTGGCCCCTAACGTTAAAAGTCTTCTCAAAACGTTGACGCTCCTGTTGTGAGCGGCTATGAAGGTCGCGGTGTGTCCTTCGTCCGTTTGGGCGTCCAACTCCATTCTTCGAATATTTTTCATAGGTGTAGATGTTTCCGTATCGAATATCGATTCTCTGCTAGTTCCATCATCTTTTAGGAGATTGAGAAAAGTGAGAATGGCTTCTAAGCAATCTATGGAATCATTTTCTGCAAGGAAGTGCAAAGGGGTCCAACCATTTTCATCTCTTGCGTTGAGTTCGACATCATTCTCTAGGAGATATCTCACCATTTGGACGTTGTTTGCCTGACAAGCTGCATGCAGTAATATCTTATCTTCATGTTCTCTCCTTTCTTCATCCTTACTTTCATCAATTTCAATCGTTCTCGAAAGTTTCCTGCTTGCCAAGGTGGCTCCGTACTTTCTGAGTACCTCTAAAACATTGACGTGTCCATTTATAACTGCTATCAACGCAACACTTTCGCCATCGTTCGTTCGTTTGTTTATTAAATTTTCAATCACGATTCGTTTGCTCGAATTATTCATCGGGTTTGAAATTTGATCTGAAGTTGTTTCCTGCGATGTCGACTCGGTGGCGTTTGAGGTAGCTTCAGAATCTTCATCCTGCCCACAACCACCGCCACCATCATTCTTCTCAGAGCAACGGAAATACTTCAAGATCTCTTCCACAACGTCCACGCATCCATTTTGCGTGGCATGGTGCAATGCCGTCCAGCCGTTCTCATCAACCACTTCAACGTCAGCTCTGCCCAACCTCAACAGGACACTGACACATTCAACGTAGCCACGTTCCGAAGCTACGTGCAGTGCCGTGTGGCCGCCACTGCTTGTCGAGTTTACATTAGCTCCGTGTTTTATTAATAGTTCAGTGATGGGCTGATGATTTTCGTGAACTGCAAAATGCAGCGGTTTCCATTTGGTGTCCGTCAGCGTCGAAGCATTCACGTCGCAATTTTTGTCGGATAATAATACCGAAACCGTTTCTAAATGTCCCGATTGACAAGCTACTTGTAGAGGACCGAAACCATCGTTTTCACGAATATTCGGATCGGCATTGTGACTGAGTAGTTCCGAAATAATTTCAGAGTATCCGTGTTGTGCTGCTAAATAAAGAGGCGTCACACCATCATTAGCTCTGCAGTTCACAAGTTTGTACATTCGAACGTGTTGTTCGTTGAGTTTGTTGGTATGTTGCTCTGCAGTGGTGGCTTTGATGTTGTCGACAATGAAGCCGTTCTGTTCGCCACAAGAAACAACTTTATTATTTTCATTCCCGACGTCACCACCACCATCATCACTAATGTCATCATCTCCAGCACAGGCTCTCAAACGCAAACATCGCAAGAGAACTCGAACGCACCTGATGTGATTACGGTTGCAGGCAGCGTGCAGAACATTCCAGCCATCCCTATCCAGCAAATCCTCTCTGGCCCCAGCCACCAGCAACTTCTCCACGACATCCCAGTGGCCCATCTGGCCGGCGAGATAGAGGGCCGAGTAAGATTCATTTGTCGTTAACTCATCAATTGATGATCCATGCCTAAGAAGGACCTCAACAATATGGCAGCTGCCTCTGTCGGAAGCGAAATGTAACGCTGTCATGCCGTCGCCATCTTTCACATTTGGGTCCGCGCCGAAATTTAAAAGTAATTCAACAATTTCTAGATTATCGTTCGAGCAAGCGCAGTGTAGGGCCGTCCAGCCGCCGATTTCGTTAGCCGTGTCGATTGGATTTTTCGGTTTTGAAGTAGTTTCGCTTTCTGTTTCAATCTTTTTAACATCATCGTCATCGGCA